ACTAATTTTCTTACTTTTTTATTTCGTTTTTCTTTTTTTTCTTTTCTTTTTTTTTTTTTTGGATTTTTCTCTGGATAAAATCTTTGTTATATCATTCATAGCTATTGATTATTTTTGATTAATAAAGGATTAAATAATTTAAATAATCCTTAGAATTGTACATCTGCGTTAGCATCCTTTTTTTTTTTTTTTTCACACAATTCAATATGAATTTAGAGATTAAACTTTTTCTTTTATTTTTCATTATAATTAAAAAGAATCTTTTCATTATTTAAATAAAGTGAATTTTTTTTTTAACTTTTTTTTTTGGCAAATAATTTTTTAACAAAAATTCAAAAATATTTTTAAAGTAAAAAAAAAGAATGCTGATAATAATATTGGTATTATTATTGATGTATAGTTTATAATAATGTTGTAGAATGTTGTAAATTAAATTTATGTTAATTATCATATTCATACACAATATTGGTATATTGTAGGGAATCACAGGTAAACATTTGATAGGTATATTGTAAAAAAATTTCAAATCAGAAAAGAGGTTAATTAGTTTTAACTTTTTTTTTTCTTTTTTTTTTTTACACTGTTATAAATAAACTATAATTGTATAAGAGATATGAACAAACATACGAGAGAATTATACATAGGTCATTCATTATTCATTTCTATGGCATAAATTCAATTCATTCAGCAAAAGGTCATTTCTATAATTCAAGAATTTTTGCAATTTAATATTTCTATGGAAAATTCTCTTATAATGTACAATATACCATTTTGTTCATTTAATAAATCATTGTCAACCAATATTTTATTATACTTACAAATAAAAATTTCCAAAATTTTCAAATGGTACAAAAAAAAAAGCAACAAAGGAATAGCATCACAAAAATTATATTACCCTTTGTTGTTGTTATTGTTATTTGTTTGTTTATTTTTTTACGGTTGCTGTTTGTTATTGTTATCGTTTGTTTGTTGTTTATTTTTTACGGTTGCTGTTTGTTATTGTTATCGTTTGTTTGTTGTTGTTTATTTCTTGCAGTTATTATTTGTTATTGTTGTCGTTTGTTGTTGTTGTTGTTGTTTATTTTTTACGGTTATTATTTGTTATTGTTGCCGTTTGTTGTTGTTGTTGTTGTTTATTTTTTACGGTTATTATTTGCTATTGTTGTCGTTTGTTTGTTGTTAGCTGTTGTTTGCTGTTGTTTGTTGTTGTTCTTTGTTGTTGCCGTTTGTTGTTTGTATTTGCTATTTTTGTTTGTTTATTTGTTTTTTTACTGTTATTGTTGTTATCATCTATTGTTTATTTTTTTGCAGTTATCATTTGTTGTTGTTGTTGTTTCTTGTTATTTGTTGCTGTTTACTTGTTGTTTGTAGTTGTTTGTTGTTGCCGTTTGTTGTTATCGTTTGTACTGTTGTTGTTATCGTTATTTGTTGTTGTCGTTATTGTTATTTGTTATTGCCATTTGTTGTTATCGTTTGTAGTTTTTGCTTGTTGTTTTTGCTGTTGTTATTGTCGTTGTTGTTGTCATTGTTTTTGCTGTTGTTGTTGTTCATTTTGTTGTTTGTTATTTTTCTTATTGTTGTTGAAGTTTGCTGCTACTTTTGTTTGTTGTTTGTTTGTTTGTTTATTTGTTTGTTTATTATTTTTTGTTTATTATTTTGAAAATGATTAATTATATAAATGAAAAACGTTTGTACTTTGTCAAAATGAAAAAATGTTATTTCTCATTTCACTTTTATATCAATAAAAGAAAAATGTACACACATATATTTGTGCACGTTTCTTTCATATCATTTCATATTATAGAATTTGAAGAAAAAAAAAAAACAAAAAACAAAAAACGAATATTTTTATCACATTTCAATGTTTCCAGAAAGAATAAAATAATTCTTCTGACTTCCTTTTTTTTTCTTTTTTCTTTGCATTTTTATCAATTTTTCCTCTTTTTTTTTTCTTTAAAATCGTCTCTATTTT